TTTTAAGCTTATTGAATTGTATAGCATAGAGGCTCTCTCTCGCGCGCAGGGGAGGTGCAAATCAAATCCCAAAATGAGATCGAAAAGGCTTGGGCCAAGCCTAATTTCGCGTTTTCCACCGGAGAACACGAAACTTTGTGATAATTTCGTAAACTTACGTAGGGGTTAGTGTGCAAGTGGCCAAATGGATGGCCCAAACTTTGCAATGCAAAGTGTCCCATTGCAACTGTGCAATAGTTATGCGCATGGTGCATACGATGCAAAACGACGTCGTTTTGATTAAAAACGCACGTCCCACTTAAAAAAAAAATCAGGTTCGATTCTCGGCAATAACATTATTGTGGATATATAGTTATGAATTTCTGGATATATAGTTATGAATTTCTGGATATATAGTTATGAATTTATGGATATTTAGTTCATTCATTGTGGATATTTAGTTCATTCATTGTAGATATTTACTTCATTCATTCATTGTGGATATATAGTTATGAATTTCTGGATATATAGTTATGAATTTCTGGATATATAGTTATGAATTTATGGATATTTAGTTCATTCATTGTGGATATTTAGTTCAATCATTGTGGATATTTAGTTCATTCATTGTGAATTTTTACTTCATTCATTCACTGTGGATATATAGTTGTTGATTTTTACTTCATTCATTCACTGTGGATATATAGTTATGAATTTGTGGATATATAGTTATGAATTTATGGATATATAGTTATGAATTTATGGATATATAAAAATGCTATTGCCGGGAATCGAACCTGATTTCTTCTTTAAGTGGTACGCGCGTTTTTTTAACAAAAACGACGTCGTTTTGGACCGAATGCACCATGCGCATGGTGCATTCGGTTGCACAGCATAATTTGCGGAAACTGTGCTGGCCAAGCACAGTTTTCTGCAGCTCCTGTTTTGTGACTGTTGGATTTAATTCCAGCTCTTATGGGATTAATTTCAATTTTAATTTTTGAATTAACACCCATGTTAATGGTTGTCGTTACAGGAGTTGTAGGGGTGCCGTTAAATGCCATAATAAAGGCTATTCACTCCTCAATCCCTATATAAGAAGGATTTGAGCAGTAGCTTTTTGAACACACAAGAAAAATAATCTTTCCAGCCTCAAAATACTTCTGCTTCTACTCCATTCTTGAAGCTGTGTTTTGCCCGTGCTCTTGTTCGCCGGGTTCGTTCGTTTGGGTGCTCAAACGTCGAACCGTTGTACGTTTTATCCTGGGAAATCTAGGCCACAACGCTTCTAGCACTTTTGGGAGGTGGCAAATAAGGTTTTAAGGAAAGAAAGACACTCGTCTAACTCGTACATTTCTTTCTTCCTTCTCCTTCTTTCTTGTTTTGGATTATGCTTTTAAGCAAAAATCCGTTCTCCCTCTTTTGATATATTAGTTGGATTGGACTTATAATCTGATGATTATTAGTTTCAATTTTGGTTGATATATATTGGTATATCTTTTTCGTAGATATACATGTATATATAACCTTTGGATCCGTTTTATATATATTTGTGTGTGTATATATATATATTTCGGATAAATATCCAATAATATTTTATATACTTGTGTGTGTATATATAAATATTATTTTTGGGATATTAAATCGATTGTGGTTCATTATTACCAACAGAAAATTCCTTTTATTCTTGTGCTTGTTATTTCTCCAAAAATATTATTTTCGTAGTAATATTTTGTAACTGTTATGCATGTAGCAATATAGCTGTATATATAATTTGTATATTTACAAATTGTTATTTATTTATTTTTTTGAGAAAAAAATAATACATCTTCTATAAATGTTCAAATTTAAACTATTTTAAGTAGTAAAAAGCGGATCATTACTTAAGAAGTGTAAACTACTGTACATCAATACAACAACGTAACGTAGATTCCTACGTCTAACTTGTTGGAGCAAAATACACATGTTAAAGGATCATGCCCCAATGATGGAGCAAAATATCGAAGATCCTGTGGATAAACAACCTAGTATTTGTAAGCATGGAAATTTTAAGTGGGCTGATTTGTGTGTTATTGGATATTGATGGATAATAATTAATTATTTTAATTGAGTTAATTAGATAAATATTTATTTATTTTGGGTTAATTAAATGACCCAATAAATATTTAATTGGTTAAATTGGAGGTTGGATTGCTCGGTCCAAATTGAAGGAATATTTAATTGAGTTGTACTAGGTTATTTGGATTAATTGGGCTGCTTAATTTATGAGTTTGACTTGATTTTGGGCCATCAAGAATATATGGGCAAATTATTGCGTGGACCATGAATATCATGTATATTTTTAATATATTAAAATTACATTATTTTTGTATTGAAGGTACATTATTTTTATACTGAAAATATATTATTATTGTACTGAAGATACATTATATATAATAATGTACCATCAGTATATTATAAAAAAATGTACTTTACGTACATAAATAATGTACTCTTAGTATATTAAAAATGTACTTTTTTATTTATGATCCACACAATTGTGTGGACCATGGTCCATGCAATAATGATTGGAAATATGTGGACCATATAAGTTTGAGAATGGTGGATAATTTTAATTGATTTCAAGATAGGATGGATCATGAATCTTGATGTGATGATGTCCCGATACGTTCTTCATATTTAATTCAAATATTTTAATTAAATTTGAGAATTATCCAAAGCGATAGAGTTTGTTAGATTTCTCCTATACTCACCACTACAAATAGTGGTTTCATTTTGGAGGAAAGAGAGCTCTGAAGGTCTGAATACCAAATCTCTGCCGGAATCCCGCCATGATATCATTTGGAACACGTCCGACATACATCTGCGTTGAGGAACATGCCATTTGAGTGCCGAAAGCCCTTTTTTAAAGATCAAGATGCATATAAATCTTTCATCGAAGAACAAGCTACTTAACTAGAGAGGCCCTTCAACAAGAAATTAAGACGATTCGGAATACTTCTAGTAGAGAATCGGAGAACTTCCCATATCCAGAGATTGTATCCATTCACTTCTTGTTTGATATTTCAGTGTAATCGATACTGTGAATATATATACAATTCAATTTTTTTTTTTTTTTTTTTTTTTTTTTTTTTACAGATTTTGGCGCGCCCAATGAGATAGTTCTGCTTCTCATCTCTTTACTACTAATCTACCTCTACCGCTATCATTACCCACACATCCAATGGCATCAAACAACCTCGTATTCAGGAGGACCTATGCCCAAGCTACCAATTCCAAGTCTATGCGGCTATGCCTTCAGCTAGCTTTGGCACTACCCAGGAAATGTAAGGCGCTCTGACTTGGAACGGTGCAAAGAACTTGGGAGTGCAACTGCTCGAACCCAATTCCGTGGCTCGGAGAATGGTTTAAAGGCTCAAAGATGTTCATACCGCCCCAAAAGGCAACTGCTTATGTTGGAAGTCCACCCTCTCACAAGGGAGCTACCGATGGTGGTAGATCAACTTCCATGTAAGAGAATGCTAGTAGCGGGAGCACTTCCCTTATATCCCCGCCATTTCCATGGAAGGTTGCATCTGAGTGGACGCATGTCTATACTGTCATGCTTGCTATGGAGAGAAACACGGAATCTGTGGATGAGCAATTTAGAAATGCTAAAACTCTTGAAGGAATGACTATTATCGTTCAAAATCAAGATAAACGAATTAACTTCCTTGATGACCGAGTAGGGAGAATAATAGAGGGACAAGGAAGTCGTGCCCAAGGAAAGTAGCTCGATGGGCAAGAAGCTACTTCCCGCCTACCAGCAACTAAGAAAAGTATACCAGTCACCGCATGCATGATACTGGTAGACCAATTGAAGGACTACATAATGAGGAAAGTTGGATGAAGGCCAACCCTCATATACCTATGCTAAGCCCTACACGCAAAGAATCGAAGAGTTGTAGATTCATTCGGCTATCAAACTCCTATGTTACAATAGTTTGATGGCAAATGGAATCTCTGACAACACATTGACCACTTTGTGGAGACCTGTAATGATACAGGGACTTACGGTGATATGTTGGTGAAACAGTTTGTCTGTCGTTCCTTAAAGGGCACTACTTTTGATTAGTACACTGATCTCGAACCCGACTGTATTGATAGCTGGCACAATATGGAGTGCGAGTTCACTTTAAGGGTAAACATAAATTATTTGCTTACCCTTAAAGTTAGACATTATTCACATTTTCACAATTAAAAAGTGAACTCTATACCAATTAAGTTTTTGATTTTGATTGAACTCAATATATTATTGGTTTGGATATTTTTAATTATGTTATATCGTAATATAAGTTCGATCTGAATATCAAATTGAAATTTCACATATATTAGACTTCAAAGTAAAAATTATTTATATACATTTCATTCAAATGAATATATCCAAAAATATTTTAAATATTAGCTTAAAAAATACCAACATTATCTAATTAAACTACATTTTAGGTGAACTTATTAGATGATTGATTCGGATATGTTTTTTTAGTTATGTTATTATACCGATAAAAAATTTGTTCAGATATCAAATGTAAAAATCTTACATATATTAAACTTAAAAATAAAATTTATATTCATTTCATTAAACCAAACATATCCAAAAAATATTTTAAATATAAGGTCTAACAATAATTGAAATTTTAAAAATTAAACGTGTGTTAATTTTATAATATATTTAATAGAAAATAGAAAATGAAGAATAATTTATGAAGTAAACAATCCTTTATATTTTGTATAGGATGGGGTTGGGCAGAATTGAAAATCAGCCTCATCTCATCAGAAATTGTGAATCCTCAATTTGAGTTTTGTGATAGGAAAAAAGTATAATAATGGCAATAAATTAAAGGCCTGGAAGTAGGAGCACAGAAAAAAAAAAATCCAAATTTGAAATACAAACAGCTGCGAGCTGAGAATACTAAAATTGCATTGATACATATATACATATACAAGGGTGAGCTATGGGGTGAGTGGGGGCAGCTGCCCCCACTGCCCCACACTGGATCCGCCCCTGATTGCATGCTAATTAAGCAGCATGAGAATTCCAATAGATAGCCGCAGCAGCATCAAGTTTCTTTGTATATTCTCGTCGCCTTCGGTGTCCAGAATGAGTCAACCATTGCAGCAAGGCGAGCATGAGAGCAGTGGCGCATGTTTTGAGGCCGGCGTACACCCACAGCGAGTATTCATCCAGATGAGAACAGTATACTATACTCAAATCCTCAAGTGTTTTTGTGAGAAATGTGCCATTCATTAGCTCCAACACAAATGGAATCCCATCATACAGACCTTTGCAAGCGTTCACCAGTGTTATGAGCTGTTTGTAAGCCCGCGGTGTTAGCCGCCCTGGGGTGACGCAATAATTCCCATCCCATGTAACTTCGCACACGTATTTACTCCATGCCTGCATGCCCCATTAATTTGTTATGTTAGAATATAATGAAGTGGACAACTATACGTGTTATTGTTGGGTGGAGGCCGGTTAAGCTGGCCAAGTCTAGCACCTGGTGGTGGAGGCAGATAAAAGACTTAAAGGTCATGCCTCGCATCCAGCATTTCGAAAATGTGTGACTGTATAAGGAAATAAGTTACACCTTCACCTTCGCTATGAATTATAGATTTTGGCGTAGTGGATGGTAAGCGTTTTATCCTAACAAATTTCGAAACGGAACACATACGAAAATGTATATGTGGATTAATATCCATTATCGAAATAATTTTTGCAGGAGTACAAATAACCGGGCAGAGATTATTAGGGCTTTGAACATCCCTAGCCATAGTTGTGGAAATTGCCTCTGGAATGGTAAACCTGTAGAAAGTGTTTTGTCTACCACTTCTCTCCCGAATACCTGATGGTGCGTGTATTCTGAACACTGGAGTTGTGGGATGACTCATTATGCTTAGAAGCCTACATGCCATCAATGTAGGCAGATATTCAGTTAATCCTAAACTGAATATCCTGAGTTGCCTAACAGACTAAGTCACTAACTGACTTAATATTCCACTTGCACCACAACCACTTAATTAATACAATATGTTATAATAAATTATATTAGGAAAAATACTTACAGTATTAGTCCCTGGTCATGGGTAGACTAGTTCAAGTCCCAGCATTTAAGATTGGTGCTGGGAAGAGGCTGGAATTCTTGGGCACCCAGCATCTCGAAAATGTGAGACTGGTGCTGGGAGGAGGCCGGAATTGTAACTTTTGGCGTAGTGGTAAATGTTTGATCCTTAACAAGTGGTATTAGAATCAGGTCATGGGTAAACTAGTTCAAGTCCCAGCATTTAAGATTGGTGTTAGGAGGAGGAGGGCGGAATTCTTGGGCACCCAGCGTCCCGAAAATGTGAGATTGGTGGTGGGAGGGGGCCCGAATTGTTGGGCACCCAACATCCCGAAAAATTGTGGAGGCATTACGCATTCGTTATAACCTGTAACTTTTGCCGTAGCGGTAAATATTTGATCATAACAAGTGTATCAGAGTCAGGTCATGGGTAGACTAGTTCAAGTCCCAGCATTTAAGATTGGTGCTAGGAGTTGGAGGTCGGAATTCTTGGGCACCCAGCATCCCGAAAATGTGAGACTGGTGCTGGGAGGAGGTCGGAATTATAACTTGACGTAGTGGTAAATAAATATTTGTCCTAACAAGTGGTATCAGAGTTAGGTCACAAATAGACTAGTTCGAGTCCCAGCCAGCAATAACATTTAAGATGAAGTGGACAATTTTATATGTTTATCTGAAAATATATGGCGGGCGCTTGATCTTAACAGTTATCATATATATATAGTAGAGATGATTGAGAGATGGAAACAAGTCTTACTCACATCTGATGCATTCTTGAAGTCAACTTCACCTGGTCCACAATGCTGCATATCATCAGTATAATCTCTGCTGTAAGGGTTACATAGAAGTGGCATGAACGGACCAGATTGATTATAATACAGTGGCCCCTCATCAGGTGTAATATTATCAACATTGGAGACGGTTAAAATATATGAATTGGCCACCTCAACCACTCCATATGTAACATTCATGGTCGCAGCCAGAATCATATGAGTAGTTTCGTTGTCTACCTTTGGGATTATATTCTCCAGAGCTGAATCTGCCGTTGGATTCAGCTGCCACTCCCTCATCGCCACACACGTGTCTCCAATCAGGCTGCACCAGTGTTTTATATATATTGTCACTCATTTCTGTACTTAATTGTGGGGTTATTAAGAACATATTTAATTAAACAATTGAAACTCACTTGTTAACCACAAGAAATATGCCACACAGAATAAATGTTACCGTTACAATAATCCACCCCATTATTACTAAGCTGCAATATCATCGAATAAAAGAATCATTATGCATTCCTTTATTAGCTATTATCAACTATATATATGTATATAATAAACCAATAAATTAAAGTTGGCATGAAAGAATTCACACTTACGTGTACATAAGACAGTTAGCTCCAGTAACCGAAAATACTGCCACCAAAATTTCACCGGAATGAGAAAAGATAATAAAAACAAAAATCATCAAACTGTGTTAATTAGTCTCTCTATCTCATTTTATCTGTCTTACTAATTATTCATTGATCAAAGTATGTGAGAAGATGTAAATTATGGTAATTCACTGACTCAGTTATCTGTTTTTCTAATTATTCATTGATCAAAGTATGTGAGAAGATGTAAATTATGGTAATTCACTGACTCAATAAATAGCGCCCCACTTTAGACATACTTTCCACATTGGAACTGTCAAGATTCGAACGTGGGTTTCTTTTTTTCAAATATTATATACTGAACCAGTGAGCTAAACCCGTGCGGGCATTTTTTGAAAATTTTTTTTCTTCCAAAAGGTTGAATCTCAAACCCTATATCACGGCCCGACAGAACATGTGGAGACACCGCTGAAAATTATGAAATTTCCGACCACCTGAAAATGATCTTAAATCAAGTTGAAAGTCTTGTTCCGACCACTTTTGGTATTCGGAAAAATATTTGTTGCTATTTCCGATCACTTTTTGCTTTCGACTTGATATAAGATCACTTCCAGGTGGTCGGAAATTCCATAATTTCCAGCAGTGAGAATGTAAATCAACAGTGACTCAATGACTTAGTAGACAAGGTCAAACATCCGGACTTAGTTCACTGGTTCAGTAAACAGCATTTGAAAAATGAATCCAAGAGCCAAATAAAAATGATGAAGAAAAAGCAGAGAAACTTACGGAACCCAAACACCGCTAAAAGAACCACGGTAATAGCAACGGAAATGAGCATTTGCTTCCTAGGAAGATAGAAGAAATTATAAAATAGATGGACAATTAACAAGAAAAATATTAAACACCATAATGGTATGCTTAAGCAATAATGTTTAAGATGATGAAATAAGAGAAAGATTGGAAGTTCTTACAGGGGATCTAATAAGTCTATTATTTCAGTTTTGTCCTGGGAAGTAACAGAGCGAAAAGTGCGATACAATTCATCGATTGTAAACCCAAGTAGATCAATTTCACGCTTTTGTTCATCAGGTAAAGTGAGGTCTCCAATCCCAACATCCTTAACAGCCATCATATGATCAAACAAGTTTTTAAGGTTAATGATGGTGGTGTCTGCTCTATCCAGAACATACATCATTACACTAACAACGCTTGACTCGAATCTCTCTTCACCAACGAATATAAACACACTTCCCATTCTGAAACAATATTCATTCACAAATTAAAAGCCAAACATATATAAGATCAATTGTTATACAATGGATCAATGTTTATATTGCATTGTGAACCCTTGTCCAAAACTTATGTGATGCAGTTAATACATTTTGTACTTGCAGTTAAGAATTTTTATATCTGTAAATAAATTGAAAATATATAACATGATAATTATAGACACATAGCATGATAACTGCTCACACATAAATTGTTAACTGCAAATACATAATGGTCCTGGTCCTGTTTGAAAAAATAGTTAGTCTATAGACTAATTTTGACTTATTTGATCACTATTAATTGTTTGACATGGTTAAAAAATCAATATAAGTGTTTGGTTAATTAGCTCTTTGTATTCCAAAATGCTAAAATTCAAAAAGTTACTCAAAGCAACTTTTTCAGTTAGCTTTTTGAGAAAAGAAATTATACCAAACATCTATTAGCTAACAACTAATTTACCAAACACCTTTCTACAATCAGCTAATGTTATCAACTAGTTATTAGCTAACAACTATCAGCTAACAGCAATTTACCAAATAGGGCCAATATGTTAACGGTAGACACATAAAATGCTGGTTAACATGTTATGTCTCTGCATCTGCAGTTAACAATTTATGTGTCTATAGTTATCATGTCATGTGTCTGTAATTACCATGTGATGTGTTTTCAATTGTTTACAAGTACAGAAACTAATAACTGCAGATACAAAATCTGAAGATTATTTTTAGACTATGGTTTACGATACAAAGTAAATCCTATTGCATGGTATAATTTGCAATATTAGATGGGTGGGAGTAGATTAATATAGCTAGCTTCTTACTGGACTGCAAGAGTGAAAAGGCAGAGCAAAACGAGGGACAAGATGTAGGCAGATTGGTTATAGCCATAAGTTTTGCGAGCACAGCAGCAACAACAACAAGTGATACACATGAAAAATAACCATAGTCCAAACAAGATGAACCATAAAGAGGCAACGAGGAAAGGACCCATGGAAGCAAAACCTGTCGACTTCATCATAAACAACAAACAAAATTTAAAGTATTATTAAATATAAATATTAAATAATGTGTAAATGGTATTTTTGATATTTGTGATATAAAAGTTATTTCAAGAGCATGAGAATAGTTAATACTAAGGTGGGGCTATTTCTAGGAATGTTATTCCCAAAGCAAAATGACCAAACCAAACGAATAAGTCTATTTCAATGAATGTTATTCCATTTCTGACTTATTCCATGAACCAAACATGGCATAAGTTTATTAATTGATGGCTAAGGAGTTATTGGGCTGAGGCGGGTGAAAGATCAAGTCCAAAACCCTACCTTTTAAAAATGTTATGACAGTCTATAAAGAAATAAAGTTGCGTTCTTCACTACTAGTTATATCTTTTGCTTTAGTTGCAATGCATTTTCTAAAGTTGTACGAATTTCCCCAAACCATAATTCTAGATCGATAGTGGTCTATAATGGAGGAACCAAGCAAGGAGGGGTGGTAAATTTTATTTTCTTTTATTATTATTATTTTTATTTTTATTTTTGTGGAAAAGCTTATTCATATTTAACTATATTAACTAAGCAATTAATAAACCATAAATTATTATTATTATTATTATTATTATTATTATTATTATTATTATTATTATTATTATTATTTTATTCAAGAATTGAATATAAATTTAAGTTCCCATGCCACAAATGAAACTTACAAATATATAATGTGGATCGGTAATATTCCAACCACCATTGTAATAATGGTAATCAGTAAGAGGGTCTCTTCTGTGAGTCCTCTCTGCTGCCAATATCAAATAGGTTGCATTTTTGATAGAGGTTTCCTCATCAGCGACCTTAATGCTATTCCTTCTTGTGCCCAATCCATCGTCCAAGACTAAATTAAAATCACCCAAGTCCAAAAAGAAAAAAATAATTATTATTTTTATTATAAAAATAATCAATAAATGCAATCTCATAAAATAATATATGAAAATTAAATTTAATACATTTAATACATTTTTGAATATCCTCAAATTCACAGTCTGCCATATCAAAATTATAAAAAGATTTACTAATTTTGCAGATTCTTTATCATCAAAGCAACCATCTTTCTTATGGAAATTATTTATGAAAATGAGAACCACTTATCTAAAATTATATGTTTGTGCTGCTTTACCATTAGTTTTTGGTACTTTTTTTTAATCGAATTACATACATAAAACTTTATCTCATTCAAGAAATAATTTAACAATCAAGAAAACATAGGTAATTAAATTTCCAGCTGCTATGCAAATTCTGGCATTCAAAAGGTAAACTATACAAAGGGAAAGAACATATGAGTTTGGGAAAAGCTAAATGTGAGAAAATCAAATTAAATATGGCAAATTACAACCAAAACATCATAAAATAGCAATTAATAAATAATAATAATAATTTTAATAAATTTTTTTTAAAAAATTACCAGAAAGCTGTTCATCTTGAAAAGGGTGAATGATATTGGGATTGGCAACAGAGAAGGAAAATGTTGAAAACAGGAGAAAAGAAAGAAGAAAGAGAAGGAAGAAAGGGTTTGAAATGAAACCCATTCTTCTCCAATCTAGGACTGCATGCTATCATTGCGGCTTATATACACACTTCTCATACATTATTTTTATGCAATTAATTAATATTACTATTTTTAAAAAAAATATATGGTTTGTTGGGTCATAATCTCTTAGAATTCTCTATCCAATGGAATTACCACCTCACCGCTCTAAAATGAACTCCCTTCTACGGATTGTAGGTTAACCTACACCAATTCAATAGGCTATATACCTGCTAGTTGAAAACTTAATAAGAATTTATTAGAAATAAAAAATTGAAAACTGTTATTGTTTATATTGTAAATATATTAATTAATGTGACCATTACCGATCGAATTTATAGAGATTATGTATTACTCATGTTGTATTGGTATTATGGCGGTTATCTAATGAGAATAGTTTTGGTGGTTTTCCTGGGTGAAGTTATTCATCTTTCTTTGGTAATCCTTTTGCTTTTCCTATTATTTTACTCACATTGGAACCATGCAACAATTCACATGAGAATTCGTCTAAATTCACAACATGTTATCGGCACGCGTGTTCTAAGTGAATTTGTTGAGCATCATTAATGTACAATCCAATTATTAGCTTAGGCTTTTAGTTGAGATGGGGCACATACTTGATGAAGGACAACAAATATAAATTCCTCGGGGAGATGAACAAGCATGCATGGGAAAGATGAACAACAATGCATTGGAACTTTCTTTTATATTAATGTATCTGTCTTGAGCCTTGTTATATTTACTTCTGTCATTTATGTAGCTAGGTACTTATGTTTTGTATATATATCATCTTTCTGTTAGCAGTAACGGCATAGAGAGATATATTAGCCTTCTTAAGTTTGTTTCAATTCAAAGCTCTTTTCGTTATCTTCCTTTTGGCTTGCGTTGTCCTGTATCAGTTTTGGTATCAGAGCCTGTTTGACTCCTAGGCAGCAACAACCCTGCTTCGTTGCTTCGACCCACAATGGTGCTAAACGGCAACAACGGAAGTAACCCATCCACTCCCGCGGTGACCATGGAATGGAAGCCCTTTGGGCGGCTTTTCAAGTGCATGAAGAAAGTGTCACCAGAGATCTTAGAGACATTCGAGGCATGCTTACTGCAATAAGTTTTAAGACTTGACAACCATGGCGCAGTTCCAAACGATAACCATGGACAGAACTTGCAAAGACCTGTACCACAACCTCCGCGTCCAAACATGCATCCAAGACAGATGATGCATGAAAGTGACGAGTCAGATGATGAAACTCCACAACGCCCAGCCCCAAGACAGTGGCACTACCGTCCCAAAGTCGATTTACCAAGCTTTAATGGATCACTTGATGTTGAGGGATTTTTAGATTGGTGCTATGAGATCGAAAATTGTTTTGAGCTGTTAGAAATTCCTGAAGATAGGCAGGCTAAAAGTGTTGCACACAAACTAAAAGGTGGAGCAGCAGCTTGGTGGGATATGACACAATCAAATAGGAGGCGACAAGGAAAAATGCCCATAGTTTCATGGAGGAAAATGAAGAAAGCAATGATGAGCCGATTTTTACCGCCCGACTACCAGCAGTATTTATTCCAAAAATATCAACAATGTTCGCAAGGGACTCGGACAGTAAATGAATACACAGAAGAGTTTTTTCGGCTTGGTGCGCGTTGTAATCTTTCTGAAACCCCTGAACAACAGACAGCTCGATATATTAATGGCCTAAGGTATACTATACAAGAGAAAATTACTTTGGCTCCTGTATGGTCTGTTGATGAAGCTTACAACATGGCAGTAAAAGCTGAGATGTTAATCTCCTCCTCAACCCAGCGAAAACCAACACCCATTGCACCACCACGATATCTAAATTATTCCACATACCCCAAAACCACTCCCAACTTACCTACTGATACACCCTTCCCTCAACCTGTGCCTACAAGTGATGCTGGAACCTCAAGGAATCAAAGACAGAAGTCAGTTGAATCATTAAACAGAAACTCAAACCCAAATCCTTATGCTAGACCAATGACCGGGAAATGCTTCAAATGTGGGGAACCGGGACATCGCTCAAACGAATGTCGAGCCCGAAAGTCCGTTAACATGGTGAACCAGATAGCCGAAGGTGATGAAAATGATTGTGAATTTAATGAGGGAACTGAAATTGCCGAGGAAGAAGGTGATCATTTAAGTTGTGTTGTTCGACGAATTCTACACACTACCAATACAAGAACGCCAACACAACGCAACAATATTTTCCGAGCATATTGCAGTGTGTTAGGGAAGGTGTGTAAACTCATCGTTGACAACGGAAGTTGTGACAACATAGTCTCCAAGTCTCTTGTACAACACCTCCAGCTACCTACAGAACCTCACCCAAAGCCTTACAAGTTGGGATGGATTAAGGAAGGGCCATCTGTTGTTGTCACAGAGATCTGTCGCATTCCGATTTCTATTGGGAAAAGCTACGAAGACACCATAACATGTGAGGTTATAGATATGGATGCTTGTCATATCTTGCTCGGAAGGCCATGGCAATTCGATGTTGATGCGACCCATCATGGAAGGCAGAACATATACTCCTTCCTTTGGAATAAGAAGAAAATAGTCATCCCCCCGGCTGCATGGGATGATGCTGCAGTGAAGAGGACTTGTGCCATCACAACAATAGAGCACTGGAAAACTTTTGTCAAGGAAGCCGGAGAACTCAATGTTGTCCTTGTGCTAATAGCTAAAGAACATAACATTGCACCAACCTACATACCAGACGAGGTACGTTCTTTGTTGGAAGAATTTGCAGATATTGCACCAAGTGACCTTCCAAATGGTCTACCACCTCTAAGGGAGATCCAACATCAGATTGATTTTATGCCCGGTGCCATGTTACCAAACCTGCCACACTACCGTATGAACCCAACAGAAAGTGCAGCCTTGAATCAACACGTCAATGAATTATTACACAAAGGACTCATTCGGGAGAGCAAAAGTCCTTGTGCGGTGCCTGCTTTGCTCACACCAAAAAAAGATGGCAGTCTACGAATGTGTGTAGACAGCCGTGCTATCAACAAGATTACAATCAAATACCGATTTCCAATTCCAAGACTCGAAGACATGTTGGACCAGCTTTATGGGGCGACTGTTTTTTCAAAGATTGATCTTCGAAGTGGGTATCACCAAGTACGTATCAAGCCAGGGGACGAATGGAAAACTGCTTTCAAAACTCGAGATGGCCTTTACGAATGGCTGGTGATGCCGTTTGGTTTATCCAATGCTCCGAGTACTTTCATGCCACTTATGAACCAGGTTCTGAAGGATTTCATTGGTAAATTTGTTGTCGTGTATTTTGACGATATTCTTATCTACAGCCATAACCGTGAAGAACATTTAATCCATCTGAAGTTGGTGTTGCAGGCCCTACGGGAGAATAAACTGTATGCTAATCTTAAAAAATGTTTCTTCATGACTAACAAGCTGGTCTTTCTCGGATTCGCTGTAAGTGCAGAAGGAATCCATGTTGATGAAGAAAAGGTGAAAGCCATACGAGACTGGCCAACTCCCAAAACAGTAGGTGATGTCAGAAGTTTTCATGGGTTGGCTACATTTTATAGGAGATTCATTAGAAACTTTAGTACCATTGCTGCTCCGCTCACTAATTGCATGCGTAAGGGAGGATTTCAGTGGGATGCTACAACTTATGCAAGCTTCAATGAGCTAAAGGAAAAGCTTACCAGTGCACCTGTCCTTGCTCTACCGGATTTTTCTAAGCCATTTGAGGTCGAGTGTGATGCAAGTGGTATTGGTGTTGGAGGAGTGTTATCCCAAAGTAAGAAACCTGTTGCTTTTTTTAGTGAAAAATTAAGTCCAGCAAGGGAGAAGTGGTCAACCTATGAGCAGGAACTTTATGCTGTTGTTCGAGCTTTGAAGACATGGGCACACTATTTGCTACATGGTGAGTTTATTATATATTCTGATCATGAAGCATTGAAGTACCTTAAAAGCCAAAAACACCTGAACAAGATGCATGCACGATGGGCTTCTTTCCTTGAACAATTCACTTTTATTATTAAACACAAGTCTGGTACTTCTAATAAAGTTGCAGATGCCCTTAGCAGAAAAAGGGAGGGAGAACTTATTGGGTTTGAAGAATTGAAATCACTTTATGAGATAGATGGAGATTTCAGTGATATTTGGAAACAAGTACAACTCCATGAACCATCCCAGGATTTTCATATTATTGATGGCTACCTTTTCAAGGGTGGGCGCTTGTGCATTCCGCGGATATCTTTGCGTGAGAAACTTATACGAGACCTACATGCTGGAGGATTGGGGGGGCATGTTGGACGTGATAAAACCATAGCTAGTGTTGAAGAACGTTTCTTTTGGCCACAAATAAAAAGAGACGTGGGTTTATTTGTTAAACGATGTCCTGTTTGCCAAGCTTCTAAAGGTCATTTGCAAAATACTGGGTTATACATGCCATTGCCAGTTCCAGAGAATATATGGGAAGACTTGTCTATGGATTTTGTTCTTGGGCTGCCAAGGACCCAAAGGGGTGCTGATTCAGTGTTTGTTGTGGTCGATCGTTTCTCAAAAATGGCCCACTTTCTACCATGTAAAAAGACGTCTGATGCAGTGCACATAGCACGAATTTTTTTTCAAGAAATAGTTCGACTACATGGCGTTCCACGTTCCATAACATCAGACAGAGACTCAAAGTTTCTCTCTCATTTTTGGATGTCCCTGTGGAAGAGGTTTGATGCAAGCTTAAAGTTCAGTAGTTCAGCCCATCCACAAACAGACGGCCAGACCGAAGTCACCAATCGTTCCTTGGGTAATTTGATACGCTGTGTGTGTAGTGGAAATGTCAAACAATGGGATTTTGCTTTGGCACAAGCAGAGTTTGCATACAATAGTTCTCTCCATACTTCAATTGGACGTACTCCCTTTTCAGTCGTTTACACAAAGGTGCCTAATCATGCTGTGGATCTCCTTCAACTTCCTAGGCCAAAACAAGGTCACAAC